TCTGCCTCTAAAATAAATAAATCTTTTTAAAAAAAAAAATATTTCTCTCCCTCCCTCTCTCTGTGCCTCCAGAAAGCAGGGTTTCCCAAATGTACTTGCCAAGGGTCTGAGACGCCACCTTGAAGGACGGCTCAGGCACTGGCCTCCTGCTTTGCAATAAAACTCACGGGCTATCAAATCGGAAACGAGCTCAGAGATAATGTGGCCTGACCCCTTTTACAGATGGGGAAACCAAGAAGAAGGTTGCTAGGGCAACACAGGCTCTGCAGCCACCGGGACGGGCCCCTGCCCTCAAGGCTTCGGGGTCCCAGCTCCAGCCGCCCACTGGGCTGCGCCGGCCTCTGGCTTTCTTTGCAGGTCTCCTCCCACCAGGTCAAAGCAGGGTCTAGGGGGTCAGCGCTGTGGTGCAGCAGGTAAGACTGCCACCTGCCGGTATCCCATAGGGTCACCGGTTCGAGTCTGGGCTGTTCCACTTCCAATCCAGCTCCCTGCTAATGTACCTGGGAAAGCAGTGGAAAATGGCTCCAATGCTTGGGACCCTGCACCCACGTGGGAGACCCAAATGAAGCTCCTGGCTTCGGCCTGGCCCGGCCCCGGCCGTTGCAGCCATCTGGGGAGTGAACCAGAAGATGGAAGACCTCTCTCTGTGTGCCTTTCCCTCTCTCTAACTCTGCCTTTCAAATAAGTAAAAAATGAATCTTAAAAAAAAAAAAAAAAAAGCCAGGGCCCAGCCAGGATCCCACCCACCCCCCGGCCCCGCCGGGCCAGCTCCTGTCCCCGCCGGGCCAGCTCCTGTCCCGCGCCCTCCACAGAAGCCACCTTCAGAGAGCAGTCCCAGCAGCCTGAGGCCCAGGAGACACCAGGGAGGGCGTCCAGCAGCTGGGCTTGGAAGACAGGAACGAGCGGTCTCTGAAGGCTTCTAAGAAGCGGACAGAGGTCAGGCTGCCCGAGGCAACCCCGGCACTGGCCCCAGCTTCCTTGTTCCCAGTCAGGCCGGGGTGGGGGCGGGGGGTGGGAAGGGGAGGAGGCTCGGCCCTCGCAGCTGCCTTCCTGGCCCTGGTCTCGGACCCTCAGCTTGGACCAGAAACAGGGAAGGGTGAGCAGCCCTGCTGGGACAGGCCCTGGAATGCCGTCGGCCTCCAGCCCTCTGCAGTCTGCCCAGTCTTTCCCTCCTGAGACTCAGGGAGGGTGACCGGAGGGGGCGCCGGCTCCCCGGGGGGCCGAGACCCACGAGGCAGGCATGGGCTGCCCGCGGGGGCTCTGTCGGGACCTGGGCTGTGCAGGGAGTGGGGAGGCAGCCACAGAGACGGCCCCTCCTCAGCCTCCCCAGGAGAGCAGCCGCAGAGAAGTCCAGCGCAGGCGCTCAGGCGCGGCCCTGAAGAGGGCTCCTGAACTGGGCGGAAGCAGTGAGCAGGCCTCCAGCAGGCCCAGGGGGAGGGAGACGCACGCTTAGGGGGACGGCGGAGCAAGAGCAAAGCCCAGAAAGCACAGGGAGCGGCCCACGGGGCTATGCCTGTCCAGACCCAACCACCATTAGCTGAAGGAGCTCGGGCCCCGCACGGAACTGCCTTGTGCCTGTTTCCTTCGTAGACCGGCAGCACCTCGGAGGGCTGTTGGGAGGACCAAGTGCTCGGGGAAGCCCTGGAGGTGCCCCCTGCACGGTGAAGATGGCAGCGCCGGGGAGAGGGGGCCCAGCCACACACACACCCCAGTCTGCTGTCGGGGGTCGGCGGGCAGATTGTGAACTGCTGAGGGTGAGCCGGCACCGGCTGCCGGGAGCACACCTGTGCAGGTGAGAACCCCCGTCACGCCTTTACCTCAGGTGCTGTAGGTGAGTATCACTGACAGCTCTCACCCACCTGGGGATACAGCCGATGGGTGAAATCATCGACGCTTACAACAGCCAAGTCCTGAGAGGGTCCCGGGGTAACGGGCCCAAGGCCACTGGGACACCATGGGTGTTCCCACCACATTCCACACGGAGATGGCAAAGCCTTGTCCAAAAGTGGGGGCTGGGCCCAGCAGACATCCAGGGGAGCAACCCCGCCCCAGGCTGACCGGAAGCTGCCAGGCCCTTGGCCTGCCCAGTACACAGCTCCTCTCCTGAAGCTCTGGCCTCCAGCTCTGGGGTCCATGGCCCCAGCTCCCTCCCCTCTCCCCTAAAGAGGGGACTTCACAGCCTCAGGGCTCCAGAGAAGACCAGCAGGCCCTGGGGGAAAGGGGTACACCTCACCCCAAGATTCAGAGCTGACCCACTGGGCCCAGGTCAGGGCTTCCGCGTTTTTCTAAAACTCCACAAGCAATTCTGAAGGCAGTGACGTCGCTTGAGAACCGGTTAGAAATGCAGAGTCTTGGGCTCCCGGCCCGCCCTCTGAGACACAGTCCTAGGCCAACCAGCTCCTATGAGAGGGAGGGTGTGAGGGGACAGCGGGACCCCAGGTCGCAGCCACACTGAGCTGATCCCTACGTCTTCTCAGCAAGAGCACCTGATGCCTACGTGGAGAAACTGAGGCTGGGACAGGGGCTCAACTCAACTGGACCCCTCCCTCGCCATGCCCCACAGCAGTCTCCCCACTTCCCGTTGGTGTGTCCTGGGGGCCAGGTGGGGGTGATAGGGACCACCCCTGCCCCGTGTCATGGAGCAGGAGCAGGAACCACAGGCAGGCCTTCCACAAAGCGGGACCCTAAGGGAGAGGACTCTGGGGCTAAGGGGTTAAGGGTCCTTGCTGGCCAGAGGCAGCTCTGCCAGGCTGTGTGGGCTTCAGGGCTGTGGGTCGGGGTTTCATCTCCTCGCCCCTTCTAGGGGACTGACTCCTGGGGAGATCTGGGACCAGCCTTGAGCGAACCCAGCCTAGATCCTGGGAATCTCCTGTCCTCCTGGGAGGACTCCCTCGTCCATGGAAGGCAGCCTGAGCCCCACCACGCGCTCGGCCCCAGTGCCCACCTGCACCCCTCCTCACCGTGGGCAGGTGTGGTTCGGGGTGGGATACAGGGGTCACTAATGTCCCTGAGTGCGGGGTGAGGGGATCCCTTGCTCCCTGCCCTGCCAGGGCCGAGGTCCCCGTGACTTCAGCCAGGACCCCTCCCTCTTCCCATCTCCCTGCGGGGCTGGGGGGATGGGAGGTGGGCTTCCTCTTCCCCTGCTGGACAGAGCTGGGTTCCCAGGGCGTGGAATGGGCAGGAGGGGGAGCCCAGTCGCAGCATGGGGGACAGAGATGTGCTCGCAGCAGCCCCCCACCCCCCACCCCACACACACGCATGCGGCCCTGGTCCTCCTACGGCCCTTCCCCCGCGCCACCTGCCTCACCCAGCACCTCTCAGCAGACTGCCCGGGCACGGCACTGAGGAGAACGGGTGTCTGTGCGCCCCCCCCCCACCGTCTGCTGTGGCTTCTGTGCAGACAGTGCGCGCCCACTGCCACCCCCACCCCCTGGATGGCACAGCTGGGCCAAGGAGGGTAAGGGGGCAGGGAGCTGGAGAAAGACCCCACACCCACTTCCTAACTCTGCGCCGCCGCTGGCTCCCTGCACAGCCGCCTCCCTGCCCCAGGGGTCTCGGGCCCAGTCACAGGTGCAGCGGGGCGCAGGGAGAGGCCCTTCCCTGGAAGAGGAGGAACCGGGGTGGGGGTGGGGGCATGAACAGGGACCCACCGCAAGAGAGATGCCGGGCAGGCGGACAACGGGCGGGCAGCAGCGGAGTCGGAGACTGCTGCGGGCAGCCGGGACAGCGGCCCGGCCGGCCGGATGCTCGTCCCTCCGTCCCTCTGTCCATCCAGGGCGGCTCCTCTCCGGGCGCTTCTGAGGCCGGGCGGGCGCTGTTAAAAAGCTTTTTATGTGTGTGTGTGTCCATCACATGATTGCCGTTGCCGTTCACCTGTGCTTCGAACAAAGACGGCTCACTGTTTCAAGGCCCGAACAAGAGTCTGGGCACAGGGAAGAGAGGGAGGCGGGGGGAGGAGGGTTGGCAGCGCCGGGGGTGGCGTCGAGGAAAACTGGGGGGAGATTGTCCAAGGCCAGCGAGCGAGAGAAAGAGAAAACCCTTATCAAACTCCTAATTCACTGGGCTCCGAGGCCCCGGACACACTGGCCCGATTGTCTGTCGGGTTGTGTGTGCGCAAGCATGTGTGTGTGTGTGTTCCAGTGTCCGCCGCCCCCACCCCCAACATGCCTCTGCCTCGTGTGACTACCTCATTGTGTCCCACTCCGCCCCCCACCCCCTTGGCTGCCCCAGACCCCCTTCCCAGCCCGGCTGCAGCCAGGAGCTCTTTGGGGTGGTCAGTGGGACCCAGGCTCCGCCTGCCCCTGCCTGCCTACCTGAGAGGGGAGGGGAGAGGAGCCGTGGGTGACGGTCCCACAGGAAGGACCACAGGGGGGCACAGGAGCACGTGGTGACTCCCCCTCCCAAGGGGAAGGAACTGCTCCCAGGAAGTGGGGCTCGATGACGACCCCATGCCAGGGGCCCCTCCTGTGCCTGGGTGGAGTTGGGGCGCCGGCACTGGGCAGGGAGCGTCCAGCTGCCCCCACTCGCCTGGTAGGGACCTGGCATCTCTGTCCCATTACCGCAGTTTGGGGCAGAGAGAGCGAACTGGGGGAGTGGGAGGCCCAGTGACACGGGCTGGGCCGCAAGGCCTGTTACGCAGGCGGCCGGACAGGACCCCCCCCCCCCACCTGCCTCCCTATGTCTCCCATCCGTCCTTTGCCAACTGTGATCTTGCCACCTGAGGCAGAGGGTGAGGGCACCAGCTGGGCCCAACCCCACCCCCCCCACCCAGCAACAGGTTCCCGCCCTGCCAGTCTGCACCCCCGCTCCCTGCCCCTGAGCTTCCCAGACTAAGTCCGAGCTAAGCCTAGGCGAGCTGGGTCTGGGCAGCAGTGCCCGGGCAGGGTGGGGGGGCCCCTGAGTGTTGGGGACGAAGGAAAGCGCTGGAGGCTCCACCTTCTGCCCTTCCCTCCCTCCCCTCCCCCTCCCCCACTCCCCCCCTTCCTTCCCCAGCCTCTGCAGCCCGCGGCTCAGTCGCTCAGTCAGTCTCAGGCTGTCCGGCCAGGGTGGCTGGTGCTGTGGATTCAGGCTCCGTCCTAAGAGGCCGTGGCCTGAGGCTCGGGGCCCCTCAGCCCCTCCCTCCCGGTCCACCAGCGCCACCCCCCCCAGCCCCGAGCTGGACCGCACACCTTGGGACTCGGTTTTCCACTTCCTGAGGACGAGCCCCAGGCTGGAGGAGAGGTCCGAGGAGGTGAGTGCGCCTGGCCGGCCAGGCCTGGGCCCCTGCCGGGCGGAAGGGAGAGGCGGACGCCCCGCGCGCCCCACACCTGCCCCTCTGGATCCGGGTCTGGTAGAAGGCAAGGTGAGAGAAAAGTGGGAAATTCCAGGGGCCGGGATTAGAGCCGAATAAAGGGTCCGTTTTTCTTCCTTTCCATCAACAAACCTCCACCCAAAAGGAGGTTTCAAAAGAAAAACCCACCCACACCAACAGACGGTTGGGGCCAGGTGGTGGGAAGGCGCGGAGGCGGGACGCGCCCACCTGGGGTCTGGCATGTGCGAGGGGCCCCAGCGGCCGGCGCGGGCTTAGCGCACGCAGGGAGGCCCGACACCTCGGGGCTGCGCCCGCGTCCCGGCCCGGCCGCCCTCGGGGCTGCGCGCGCCGCCGCTCCATTGCGCCCTCCTTTCCGACCAGGTGGGCGTTGGGCTCTTTGCGAGGACCCCCGCGGCGGGCCCGGGGGAGGCGGCCGAGGCGGCGGCGGCCGGGGGCGACATGGCGGAGGAGCAGGACCTGTCGGAGGTGGAGCTGAGCCCGGTGGGCTCCGAAGAGCCCCGCTGCCTGTCCCCAGGAAGCGCGCCTTCGCTGGGGCCCGACGGCGGCGGCGGCGGCTCCAGCCTGCGAGCCAGCCCCGGGCCCGGCGAGCTGGGCAAGGTGAAGAAGGAGCAGCAGGCCGGCGAGGCGGACGACGACAAGTTCCCCGTGTGCATCCGCGAGGCCGTCAGCCAGGTGCTCAGCGGCTACGACTGGACACTGGTGCCCATGCCGGTGCGCGTCAACGGCGCCAGCAAGAGCAAGCCACACGTCAAGCGGCCCATGAACGCCTTCATGGTGTGGGCGCAGGCGGCGCGCCGGAAGCTGGCCGACCAGTACCCGCACCTGCACAATGCCGAGCTCAGCAAGACGCTGGGCAAGCTTTGGAGGTGAGCGCTCCCCGGCCCGACCAGCCAGCTGCGACGCGTTCGCGCCAGGCGGGAGCGCCCCGTCTCCTGCCCCCCGGGGCGGGGTCTGCCGGGGGCCCTTTCCCCAGGGGCAGCCCCCTCCTGGGATGCGCCTGGAGGACCAGGTGCAGGGACCGTGCCTGCCTGGCCTCCACAGGCGCGCCTTTGGGTTCTGCCCGCTGGCGACTCGAACTCTGAACTGCAGCCGCCTAGGCCGGGTCTCTTCCCACCCCGGGTGGCGGCCAGGAAAGCGCCCCCTCGCGGTTGGAATTCTGTCGGTGGCACCTAGGGCCTCCGGGGCTGCTCCTCCGGGAGCCCACCACAGCCCCTCACTAACTCCCTTCCCATGTAGGTGCACACCCAAGGGGGCCAAACTGCCACCATCTCATCGCTCGGGAGGATGTGAGGGGAAAGGCTTGGGCAAGCACCGGGGGCGTAGCTGCAGATTCGGGGAAACTGAGGCAGCCAGCTGAGAAGTCAGGGGAGGTCTGAGACCACGGCGTTCGGATGAGGGGCAGGGAGTGGGGGTAGGGGTGGAGAGCTGCCAGGGGGTTCTCACCCTGGCCCACCTGTCTCCACTGGGTCCTGGCCCCGCCCTCCCTTGGGCGGGGGGGCTGCTTCTCTGGGAGGAGGGGCACCCAGGACACCTTGCTCTCTCCCACCCTGTTCCAGAGCCACCAAGCTGGCTTCTCTCCCTTCCTTGCTCTCCTGGTTGGGCGCCATCTTTCCTCCCAGGGCCCCACCCAGCGTTGAGCAACCTCTTCCCCACAGCCCCAGAGTTGGAGCCGAGCACTCTGGCCAGGAGGACACCCTGGTCTCCGTTCTGCCCAGGGTCCCTCAGAGCCCCAGGGACAAGCCCACACCTCTGGGGAAAACCGTGTAGGGGGAAAGCCTGGCCCCTTAGGGACGTGTGAAGCAGGGGACCCCTCAGCCCCACCCTGAGAGCCCTCATCCAGCTCCAAGAGGGAACAGAGGCTCAGGAGATGCCGGCCTGTGGTGGCCACCTGATCTCCATCACACTGCCCAGGACACAGGCCCAGAGAGGCAGGGCCACTGCAAAGGTCACACACCAGCTGGTGGCACAGCCGGGCCAGAGGTCTTCCCCCACATTGTGCCCGGCATGGTGGTCACAAGGAGCGGGTTGGGGGGTTTCAGAGACTGGGCTCTGTCAGTGGAGCCTGCTGCCTGTCCCTCTCCACTAAGCCAGCAGGGTGGAGGTGAGGGCTAGAGGGCCCGAGGCTTGGATGCTGGGAGGAACAGGAGGGTCCCTGCGCCCAGTCCCCTGGCCCGTCCTTGCCATGTGCTCGCCTGGTGCCCCTTCCCCTCCCCCACCAGCCCCTGCTCATCCTGGGCAGGCCCGGGCTTGGTGACCAGCTGCTGTGTGTCCAGCTCTGCCAGGAGCAGAGGTCGCTGCTAGCTCCCCTCTGTCCAAGGCCCCTCCAGACCTGGGTGGGGCTTGGCCCAGGCTGGGTGCGCGGCGCCTTGGCCGCTGTGGAACAAAGAGGCAGTGAGAGACACAGCCAAAGGGAGGCAGACGGAACAGCGCCGGGGACCTTGGGCAGACCCACGCATGAGCCCGGCTCTCCCACCACCTCCCATGGCCAGGGTCTCAGGTTGCCCCTCCATTGCCCCTGGCTGGGCTGGAGGTCCCTTCAGAGGGACTTGCTCCTGGCCAGCTCTTGAGCTGTGAGCACAGGGGCCTACCTGGGCAGGGCTGGCAGGAGAGCAGGACCCAACCCCAGTGACAGGAGGGCAGTGGGACAATGGCGAGGATCAAAAGCTGTGCCCACAGATGGTGGCAAGGGTCCCCACAAACATCTGGATGTGAGCGGGGATGGCCAGTCACTCCGGAGGCTTCCGGAACCCTCACCTCCCCAGACCCCGCCAAGTTCAAGACTCCCAGGGTGCTGGGAAAGGGGATGGTTAGCTAGGCAGCACAGGGAAATAGGGGTCCCCAAACCAAACAGATGAGGGCTCACAGGCAGACTGTGTGGGGTCAGCCCCAGCAGAGCCTGGGCTCGGGGTGGCTCTGTGGGCTCCGACAGTCACGCTGGCCGTGGGTGCCCGTCTGGGGGCAGCTGGCGGATGCGGATCACGAGGTGGTGGTGGTGGTTGTGTGTGGGCTGGCCTGCCTGGAATGAACATCAAAGCCGAGAGAACTGGAAAGGGGGTCACAGGTGGGAGCCCTCCCCATGTGGTGGGGCCCCCTCAACCTCTCCTGTCCCCGTCCACAGCCTCTTCCCCAGGTAGTATCCCTGCACCCCTGGCTGTGCAGGACAGCTGCAGACACAGCCAGTACCCATCGGGAGCCCCTAACTGGGATTTTCTGTGTGAGTGGGAAACCAGCCGACCCTCTCCCCTCGCCAGCTCGCCCTGCCCTACCGATCCAGACCCTGGACACTGGGAGGACCGCGGGCTGATGTGAAGGTGTACATGAGGACTGACCGGGTTTGCAGTTAGAGCGAGGGTTGACAAGGTGGAGAGTGGGGGCTAGCGCAGTTGTCAAAGTTAACTCTGAGACTGGGGGGTTTACACAGTGGGGTGCACTGGACCTGGGGTTAGAGGAGAGCCTGGTGCAGGAGGCGGGGCTGAGGTTAGGGCCGGAGTCAGGGGTGGCAGTGGCCCTCGGTTAGGCGACCACTGGAAACTCGGACCCAGTGTTGGAATCTCCTGGCCTGTTCACCTGCCATTTCCTTGCTGACCACTGGTTGCCAGCTGGGCAGGGGGCACACAAGGATGGGGCTCCCCGGCTGTGGGGCCTCTATGCTCAGCCTGTCTGCTCTCCCTGCCATCCGCTCCCGGGCCAGGGCGCCTGCATCCCACGCTCTGCCCCCAGGGCCCTGCGCTGGGGTGAACATCAACCCGAACGGTCTCTGCCAAGGGACCCTTGGAGAAAGCTGGGGCGGGGCTGGGGCGGCGGGCAGACTAAGCTGCAGAGGAATGCTGCTGCCGGCTAGGAGGTGCCTGGTGTGACCACCCCCTCCCGGCCCAGCGCTGCTGCTGTCTGGGGGACAGGGCACCTACTGGCAGGGAGGGGTCCTCTGGTCAGAGGGAGGGGCATTCCCACCACCGCTGGCAGGCATGCAGTACCCTGTCGCCTCCCCATCCTGCCCTCCTCACCCTGGGGCAGCCCCTGTACCCTCCAACCCTGGCCTGAAGGTGGAGTCGGGTGGGCAGGGAAACTACCCCCAGGGCTTGCTCCCTCCGTGAGAGGATCTTAGGGACCGTCCCAGGGTCTGGGAAGAGACCATGGCTTCCTCTCTGGCCCCCTAGACAAAGATGCAGCGTCTCCTGCAGATGCTGGTGCCCGCTCGAGGACGGGGGCCCCCACCGGGCCCCCTCACCTCCAGCACACTGGAATTCACAACCCCTGCTTTGCAGAGGTGGGCACACCGAGCCCCTGTCCAGCTACCCCGAGCAGCGCTGGGACACCACTTTCTCAGGAGGCCTCCCTGCCCTTCCCAGGCTCCCGTGCGTGGGATCTTGGCTGATCCCACACCCCAAACAGAGAGCATCATCCCCGGGTTATAGGTGAAGAAAGGCAGGCCCAGAGCGGTAACTGGCCAAGGCCACACGCACAGCTGGGAAGCAGCCGACGGGGCTCTGCTCTGCACACCTCGGCCCAGGGGGCTCAGCACTAACCAGGAGCCAGCGGCACCTGCACACAGCTTTGACAAGAAGACTTTTCCTTTCCTTGACTGCTATCTGCCCCCTCGCAGCCTCTATCCCTACTTCTAAGTCCTCCTCAGGGGCTCACACCCACCCCAGCCCTGAGGCTGCTGCTCCTTGGGCCTTGCACCTTCTGGTCCATATAGCACTAGGCAGCCCCCACCTGGGCCCTGCCCTGTGGGCTCCCCAAGGCGGCTCATGTTTTCCAGGGCAGACGTTCAGGGGGAAGCCAGACTGGGGGCTCTGGCACTCACAAGGACCTCTCTGCTGTCCCCCGGCCCCAGGCTGCTGAATGAGAGTGACAAGCGCCCCTTCATTGAGGAGGCGGAGAGGCTCCGGATGCAGCACAAGAAAGACCACCCGGACTACAAGTACCAGCCCCGGAGGCGGAAGAATGGGAAGGCAGCCCAAGGGGAGGCCGAGTGCCCGGGCGGCGAGGCCGAGCAGGGCGGAGCTGCTGCCATCCAGGCCCATTATAAGAGCGCCCACCTAGACCACCGGCACCCGGGAGAGGGCTCCCCAATGTCGGATGGGAACCCTGAGCACCCTTCAGGTGAGTGCTGGGCTGGGAGCTGCCACGGTGCTGATGCCAGGGCTGGGGAGGGGGGCCGGGCAGGGGAGAGAGAAGACTGGATGGCACGAGGCCCTGACACGCCCCAGCAGTCCTGGGCTCCCGGGAGGGGTTGTTAGGCAGTACAGCTGCGCCGGCTGGGCAGCAGGGGCCCAGAGGGGGCTCAGTGCAGACCCCCGAGCTGAGGGAAGTGGTTGGGAGAGAAGCTGCTGGCCAGGCTGACGAAAGGGGGCCAGTTATGGAGGCCATGGGTGGAGCAACCCCAGCAAGGACAGAGGCGAGGCGATGGCTGCCTCTCACGTGCCTCCCGCTGAGGGGCGATGTGGCCTGGGACGGCAGCTGCGCCACACGTCGGGACAGACCAGATGTGCGGCCTCGTTTTCATTCTCAATAACGGGAGCCGCAGCTGATGGTAACCTGGCGCCTACCGGGTGCCAGCACCGGGCCGTCACGTGGTGTGCAGTCGCTCGTTCAGCCTGCAGCAGTTCTGAAAGTGACTCACCTTATGGGTGGGAAGGGAACGGGGTGTGTTCCTGACGGACAGAAAGGGCTGTGCCCAGGTCTGACGCACGGCAGTGGGCAGAGCTCTGCCTTCAGAGGCCACGCTCTGAGCCTGCGTTGTGGAGTGGGCCCTGGGAGCGCCGAGGGCAGCCCCCGGTCCCAGACCCCGAGAGCCCACGGTCTAGGAAGAGGAGGGGCGGAGACGGGTGGACTTAACAGAGGAAGAAATCAGGGCACGAGAAACCCCTGACATGCAGAGACGGCGGGGTCTCTGGGGAGGGGTCGCCCAGCCCTCCGGGCGTCTGTGTCTCCAAGTTACCTGACTGCCCAGACTGTGGCCCCAGTGGCCTACCCAAGGATGCGGAATCTGAGCGGCTGCGTGTTGTCTGCTTTTGTAGATAAGCAAAGTGGTTAAGACCCAATTGGCCAGGGTCACACAGTAAGTGACAGGGCCAGGATGTCAACCCAGGCAGGTCTCTCCAAGTCCGGAGCCCTTGGCCTACTCGGCCTGGCTCTGCCTCTGGGTCTGATGGGGGAGGCACGGGCTCCTGACTGCAGAGCCAGGGACACGGCTGTGATGCGTCTAGTCCAGCCGTTCCTCCCACACACGCATACTCCTCATTCTAGGAGTCAGATGCACACACACCCCAGAAGTCTGCGGGCCATGTACAGAACCAGCACTTCTGAGTGAACTGTGCACGTGGCTTTCTCACCATTCAAAACCCTGCCTGGGCTCACTTCCTCAGTGAGGCTCCCCCCGTCCCCAGGGCAGTGCGCGGCCCCCAGCTCCAGGCACGCGCGGTCCCGGATCCGGCCCAGACTTGAGCTTCGGGAGGCAGGGACTTAGCTGCTTCTGCATGTCTCCCTAGCACCTGGCCCGGTTCCTGGCCCTTAGCAGTGCCCCTAATGTTTTCTGCAGGGAATGTGAGCAGCCCAAGGAACAAGGGCCAGGGGTCTAAGTGTCCTCCTGGAGAAGGAGGGAGAGCCCCTCGAGGGGCAGCGGGCAGCACAGCCCCCAGGGCTGGGCAACAGGCAGATGTGGGAGGAGGGGTGGGTTTGGAGGGGACGCAGCACTGTGTGGGGTGAAGGCAGGGAGCAGGCACAGGCAGGCCAGCAGCAGTGAAAGAGTAGTCAGGAGTGCGGAGGGTGTGCAAGTCAGGAGAGTGGCCAGCAGGGGCCCCGGCACAGGCGCCCACAGGCCGGACCACACGGGGGTCAGCAGCTGGGGCAGGAGGGCGTGCAGCAGGGGGACTGACAGCTGAGCAGAGAAGAACTTGCCAACAGGAAAGGGTCCCAGATGGAAGCAGACCTCCCCAGGAGGCGCATAACGGAGGCTGGGAGGCAGCACCCATCCCAAGATTGGAGGCTTTTGTAAGCAACTGGAGACCAACCGGAGATCAGTAGATAAATAAATGCCAACTTGCCACCAAAACACGTCAAACCCACAAGGCGGGCGCAGGGGTCAGAGCCCAGCTTCCGGGAGGTATCTGCTGCCTGAGGGGGAGCCATCAGAGCCCACTGTCCCCACCTGGCCTCTGACCTCGCTCTCTCTGTCTCCTTCCCCCCAGGCCAGAGCCATGGCCCACCCACCCCTCCAACCACCCCAAAGACAGAGCTGCAGTCGGGCAAGGCAGACCCCAAGCGGGATGGGCGCTCCATGGGGGAGGGCGGGAAGCCTCACATCGACTTCGGCAACGTGGACATCGGTGAGATCAGCCACGAGGTAATGTCCAACATGGAGACCTTTGACGTGGCTGAGTTGGACCAGTACCTGCCGCCCAACGGGCACCCAGGCCACGTGGGTAGCTACTCAGCAGCTGGCTATGGGCTGGGCAGCGCCCTGGCCGTAGCCAGTGGACACTCCGCCTGGATCTCCAAGCCACCAGGGGTGGCTCTGCCCGCAGTCTCGCCTCCTGGTGTGGATGCCAAAGCCCAGGTGAAGACAGAGACCGCAGGACCCCCAGGGCCCCCGCACTACACCGACCAGCCGTCCACCTCGCAGATTGCCTACACCTCCCTCAGCCTGCCCCACTACGGCTCCGCCTTCCCCTCCATCTCCCGCCCCCAGTTTGACTACTCCGACCATCAGCCCTCAGGACCCTACTATGGCCATTCCAGCCAGGCCTCTGGTCTCTACTCGGCCTTCTCCTACATGGGGCCCTCACAGCGGCCTCTCTACACGGCCATCTCTGACCCCAGCCCCTCAGGGCCCCAGTCCCACAGCCCCACACACTGGGAGCAGCCGGTATATACGACGCTGTCCCGGCCTTAAAGGGGGCTGTCACCACTGGCCCTCGCCCGGCCCTTCCTGGGGCCCACGCCCCCTTCCCTCAGCCCGTGCGCCCTGCTCTTCGCCCGGCTCAGGCCTGGTGGCGGCGGTGGAGGAGGGAAGCCTTTCTGTCTGGCTCACTGCCCTGATGACCCACCTGCCCCAGCCAGGCGCCAGCTAACAGGCCCTAGACTGAAAGATGAAGGGCTGTGCCCTGCCCTCAGGAATGACCCTCTATCCAGGACCTGAGAAGGACCCCCTCCCCCTCGCGGGTCAGACGGGCATCGGAGGCCGTGCCTCTCCTGTGCACTCCTGCCTCTCTTGGAGTGAGGGGGGACAGGCCCCTGTGCCACCTGTTCGTGGCGCCTCACGGCTAAGGCACCCAGGGACCTGCATCAGAGCCTGGAGCTGGCTCTGTCTGCCACTTGGGGCTGAGGACAGCTTTGAGCTCATGAGGAGTTGGGGTGCAGGGGCTCAGTGGGGGTTCTCATCCCTTCACTGGCCCCTGTCCTCCTGAACGCAGGAAGGAATTGGCACAGAGGCGCCCAGCCCCAATTCTGTGCCAACAACCTCATGCCTTGTCTACTGGTGAGCGAGCCCCCAGTTTTCCCCCCACTCAGCCTCCCAGGCCTGTGCCACACCCGAGGCGAGGAGGCTGGGGCTCCAGGAATGGACTCGGAGACAATTCACGGAGCCTTCCTCCCTGGGCTCCTTGCCACTGCCCCCTTCCCTCACTAGACTCCGTGACCCCTGTCCTGCCAGTCCCACCTCCCTGGGCTTCCCAGAGAACTCAGAGCCGCTCGGCCCCAGCCCTCAACCCCAGGAGGAGGGGCCCAGCACTCAGGCTGCCGGCACAGGCTGAAGACACTAAGATCCTGACTGTACACTCCCCTCTTGCCCTGCCCCCCGCCTCCCAGCCGTATCTGAAGAACGTGTGTAGCCCTCTCTGCCCGTCTTCCACTCCGCAGCCCTCCCAATCCACGTGTAACTCATGACTGTCCCCTTATTTATCTCAGTAGTCCCCTCTCCTAGCTACTCCAGCCCCTATTAACTCTGCATTAAGCATTCCACATAATAAAATTGAAGGTTCCGGTTACCTGCTTGGTGGGCCTGACCTGGACTGTCTCTTGATCTCTCACCCCATACCTGTGCCCCCACAGCCAGTCTGGCAACAGTTAGGAGCAGAAAGCAAAGGGCAGACCATCCACAGGGCTGTCTCCCCTGAGGAACTGGAGACACGGCGGAGGCCAGGACAGCTGGCCTCTCAGTGGGGTCACTCTGCAGGCGGACAGGGGACTGTAACCTCAGCGGGATCAGCTGGAGCTCACAGCCTTCCCAGTGGTCCCTCCACATCCAGGAGAGGGAGGAGGGGGTGGGGTCTGACATCTTGCCGTCTCGCAGTCAGGGGCTAGGTCCCCCAGGATGCATGGTTGGGCCTTCTGTGGCCGCACCCCCCAGCACATGGAGGGCCACACAAGCCGCCCCCCCCCCACGCCAGGGTGTGGCCCAGCTCTCACTGCCCAAGAGCTTGTTCCTCAGCAAGCTCCCACTCACCAGCACACAACCCCGGGGCGCTGGTTGGAAAGTCTTCGAGTACTCTCTGGTCAAGGGCTTTGTCATTCAGGTCCAGTCCTATCCCACGTTCCAGATGGGGACACTGGAGCTTCAAGAGGCGGGTGCCAGCACTCGCCCTCTTCCTCACTGCTCGCTCCACCTGCCCATGGCTTGCAGGCCTCACTTCATCCCAATTCTGGGGTGCTCCAGACCAGGCATCTCCAGCCCCCTACCCCAGTCGGGGGCACAGGCGCTAGCCCAGCCCCCCCAGGGGGCCAGGCTCCTTCCCTGCTAAGCTGCATCACACACGCTCTTCAGACACCCAGGAACCGCCAGCCCCCTGAGGCCTGGAGGCCGCGGAAGCCCCTGCTCTTCCAGACGGTCTCTTTGCAATGTCAGTCATCCAAACTGTGTATGAGCTGTTTTGGTATTTTGGGTTTTTGTGGATAAATGCAAGATTTTATACTGATCATTAACAGATTTCATCTTGTTGGGTTACATCTGTTTTCCCACCTGTAATTAAATCTCTCGGAACTTAGCACTCCTTCAGAGCTTTTATTATCTGCAAACTTGAATTATGTTCACTTGGGCCACTAATAAAGGTGGAAACGAAGAGGGACAGGGCCTTGCGTACACACTAAATTCCTCTCTCCATCAGTACCACTGTCTGAACTCTCGGGGTGGGACAGTCTGGTCAGTTCTGACATGGTCTCATTACATCACTGAAGAGCACGACCTCACGGCTGTCCAGGACTGCCCAAGGCCTTGTTAAATAGAGACTTGGGACGTTCTTTGGGTCTGCCAGACCAGTCACCACTAAAGAGTTCACCTGGCGATATTCTTAGGAACCCCATCCCACTACTGGATCTCTTCTTTATTACCTAAGTGCTTCCAAGTATGAAAAACCCCATTCTAGAATTCTGTCAGGGATCAGTCCGTACAAACCTTCTACAACCCACCCTTCCCCTTACTCAAAGGCAGGACATCTGTCCATTTCCGGCCTGTTCGCTGCTCCCACACTAGTGGGCTGATGGACACGGAGCCGGCAGGGCCAAGGCGAGAGGCCCCATTCAGATGAAAGCACCAGCTCCGGGGCCTGCGTCTCGCGAGGCCGGCTGGGAAGTCACTGGGCATGAGGAAGGAGGGACGTGCCCCCAGGAAAGGACAGATGACCTCAGAGAAATCGGAAGACCAGAGGCTCCGGGCACGCTTGGGCCTCAGCAGGGTAGCAGCTCCTAGGAGAAGGAGTGTGGCCACGCTGAGGAAACACCAGCCACCAGCGCTGGCAGGTGGCCTTCCATTCAAGAGGTCAGAAGGCAGGCCTGAGTAGCAAGGGGCTCCCTGCAAGAGCAGAACGTTCGGGGAGGGGGAACACCCCTTCCTCCACTTCCCTTGCACCCTTATCCCCTAAGGGTTAAGCCCACCCCCTCTCCTCCCGCCCAAACCCCATCTCTCTTTAATCACATCTGATACTGAGTGGCCCAGCAGGAAACAAAGAGACCATTTAGAGAAACGGGGCCGAGAAAGTGACCCCCGCACTCCGGGGCCGCTGCCTGGATGCCAGCACAAAGGCGGCATTTCAGAGCTGAAATTTCAGCACCCAACTTGATTAAAGGATTCCACGGGCTCGGAGGAGGGTGGCAGGGGTGCGAAGTCCACTGCTCCCGGAATTAACCCTTCTCCTGAGCAGCACGCTTCCCTCCCACCCCTGCGACACTCATCCTCTCCCCACTGAGCAGGGTGCGCTGTCCCGGGGCCCTGCCTCTTGCTGGGGTCAGCCGGGCCCAGCTCCTCTTCCTGGAAGGGGAGCTGGCAGCGGGATGGAGGCCGGGCGGGCGGAATACTCAGGGTGTCAATCTTCCGTCTCTGCTGGTGTCAGATACACCCTCTCCTCCCCTGAGGAGGCAAGAGCCCGTGTGACTGGGCTCACCTGGGGCGGAGGGGACCCATTAGCACCTAAGGCAGAGGAAGGGGAGCTCCAGCGCAGGCCAAACCCAGGAGCACATTATCCCAGGACCCATCCCGCACAGGCCCCACACAAGAGGGGCTGGGAAAGAGGGCATGGGGATGGCAGCCCAGAGGTGGCCCGAGGAAGAAGGGGATAGGGTGGGGGCAGGGGTGGGCAGGTGTGCTGTCCTTGCTCCAGCTGCGGACTGCTCAGCAGGGCTCTGCCTGGGGAGGGTGGGGGATCACCACACCCCCACGCTTCCTGCTGGGGCCTTGCTCCTGAAAGGGGATCCGAGCCCACGATAAGAGGCTTGAGGCAGGTCCTCAGGAAACAATGGGCGGCTTGATGAGACCTGCTCTGTGATACTCCTGAGAAGGGAGAAGCCCCTGCAGCCAGTCCCCACAGGAAAGGAAATTGGGGGTTTCCGTGGCAACCAGCTCCCTGGGCACAAAGACATGTCTGTCTGTTGGGAAGGCAGCTGAGGTGTCTCCCTGCAGCAGCCTCTGCTCTGGTGAGTGGGAAGATGAGGAGGGACGCGGGGGACCGCGGGGTGAAGGGCCCCTGGTGCTTTTACAGAGCTGACGGTCACGGACCACTGTGACAGGTGCCTGTTCCAGGCAGCAGGCAGAAACAGGGCTGGCATCACAGACAGCTGGAGGTAGAGGGACGGAAAGACTAAATAGTTTATTATTTACACGTAGAAATCGGGAACCAAGTGGGCAGGGGCCAGGGCAGCAGACGGCTCGGCTCAGTCGGTGATGATGAGCTCGTCGACCCCCCAGTCCTCATAGCTCCCGTCGGGCAGGTAGCGGCGGATGATGATGGGGATCTTTCGGGCCCTGTGGCGGGGGAAGTCACAGGTACATAAGGGCTGCAGACGGCGTGCAGACCCTGTCCCATCCATGCCCCCTTCCCTCTCCCTCCTCCCTCCCGATGGCTGACTCCTGAATGCACTAAGGATCTAAAGGAACGAGCAGCGACTTTGACAGCCAAGAAAGTAGGGGTGGAGGGTAAAGCAGAAAGCCCTGAGGGTGCCCCCCAGACTTTGCTGGATGGAGCCGGAATCGGGGACACTTACTTGAGTTCCTTCATGGCAATGAGCAAAGGATCTGTCTCTCCCTCCAGCTCCACCATCACAGGGGCACACATCCTGTAGGAGCAGGACAGGTGTTGGGCAGACTGCAACACGGGCAGCAGAGCCTGGTCCTCACCTAGAAAGGTCACCTCCTAGGCAGGCAGGTGTGGTGGGGAGCGCGATACAAGGGCACTGCCGGAGACCCAGCTCAGGAAGCAGTCACAGACAGGTGACTGAATCTCTCCCCAGATCTCAGTAGCCTCATTTGAAACAAGAATTACTTTTTAAATTAATTTATTTTTATTCGAGAGTCCGAGTGTTTCCATCTGCGATCAGGGCTAGGCTGGGTCAAAGCCAGGAGCCAGGAACTCAATCCAGGTCTCCACGTGGGTGGTAGGAGACTAAGTACTTGAGCCACCACCCCTGCCACTCAGGGTCTCCAGCAGCAGGAGCTGGGCTTTGGAGCCAGGTCCTCTGGCAACGGACGCAGGCGTCGTACCCAGCATTCTGACTGCGGAGCGGCACAGCCACTCCAGCAGAACAGTCCACATTCTCACTTCTGTGAAAACTGAGCTAGTCTCCTGTTCCCAATGTGCTTTAATTTTCCCTCGAAGACCCTGCATTTCTGCCTTATGGATGCTGATGCTGTATTATTTGGTGCACAGATATTTACATTTTATTTATTTGAGAGACAGCGAGCACACGAGAGCGAGCACACACTCCCATCCCAGAGTCTGCATTAGCAGGGGCCAGAGGCGAGCGCTGAACCTGGGGACTCCTCGGTGGGACGCAGGCGCCGTAACCGCTGGGCTAAACGCCTGCTGCTGAGTAACTACTGTATTTCTATTTTACTGATGAGGAAAACGAGGCAGAGAAGTCAGTACCTTGCCCAAGGCCACATAACAGCAAGCGCCAGAGCCATGATCTGAGCCCTGCCTGCTCCTCATCTAACTTCCTGTGAAACAAGCTGAAGATCTGCTAACTTAAGAAAAGTGTACAGGGGGCTGGTGCTGTGGCAGAGTGGGCTAAGCCTCCACCTGCGGCGCTGGCATCCCATATGGGCACTGGCTCTAGTCCCGGCTGCCCCTCTTCCGATCCAGCTCTCTGCTATGGCCTGGGAAGGCAGTGGAGGGTGGACTAAGTGCTTGGGCCCCTGCACCCACATGGGAGACCTGGAAGAATCCCCTGGCTCCTAGCTTTGGATGGTCTCAGCTCCGGCCATTGTGTCTATCTGGGGAGTGAACCAGTGGATGGAAGACCTCTTTCTCTCTCTCTGTAATTCTACAAATAATTTCAAATAAATAAATAACTCAATCTTTAAAAAAAAAAGTGCATGAACATGGCAGTTGAAGTGTGCATCACTAGGCTACACACACTGGTCATGCCGGCTCCACTTCCAAGGACCCTCCCAAGAGGCTGAGCCAGTGGCCGTGGCAGTGTCCCAGCAGAAGGGCAGCAAGTACTAAGGCCCATCTCCCTGACCACCTCAACCCAACCCCAAGAGCCCTGCTGCCCTCAT